AGTGACTGTTAGATCAGCATCTGTAAAGTCACCTTGCGCTGCCGTTCGCATTTCGGCATTGTCCATCAAAGTCACAGCACCTACCTCGAACATCGAAATGTACGCTTTAAAGTTCCATGACCATTCTTCCCAGTCTGCTGGGTTCCCAGAGAAAGTCTCTGGCAGAGGAAGCCGAAGCTTTCCTGTAAAGTTGTCTTCACCTCCTAGCGCCATGTTGTTCTACCAAAGTTCCGTGGAGCTTTCAGCTCCGCTACCATACGAAAGTACACTAGTCCAGAATGCGCACCAAACTACCCTAAAGTAATTCCGTGCACAAGCTCACACGACTTAGACCAAAGTAACCCTGAAGTTCAGCAGCGCCTTTTCTCATAGGGCAAAGTGGTCTTGAGCCAACGACGGTTGGCAAAGTCTGGGGGAGAAAGGGAGGTGTTATTTTCACACATACACACGTGCATACAGTCATGCATGCATCCCAACATGTGCATACATCCAGACCTGCAAGTGTGCAGACGTGCATACATGAATGCATACTGAACATACTTACATGCATTACATACAGACAACAGACAGGCTGACACACAGACCGACAAACAGTAATACATACGAACAGGCATACATACTTACATTGATACAGTGGGCAATCGGCTCGGAGTAAGTACAGTCGGAGGATGAATGATTAGTATGCCTTTTCGGGGGGCCCCAGCTCAAAAGTTGGTCGAACAAAAATGCCTCTTGTTATAAACAGCGATGTGTGTATATCCTGGTACATGCACGGTCTCCAGTGGGTACATGTAACACTACCTTGCCGTGATTGTTCTTCTGGATGCTCCCTTCCATGCCGGAGGCTTAACCGCAAAAAATGCCGTTCCACGAAAACTTGGCTGGAAACCTGAAAAACCTCCGAAAAGGTGGGAGGTCGGAGACACTTAGACATGTTGTGCGCATGCACACACACAGAGAGAGATAAATACGAATAAATGTGTATGTATGTATGTATGTGCATGTCTGTATGTGCATACATACATATATATATATATATATATATATGTACATATGTACACATGTATACACATGCACGTAAAAAACATGCAATGTATGTAAAATATGTCTGTATGTAGGCAGGTAGGCATGTGGGCGGGTGGGTGGTTGACTAGGCGGGTAGGTGGGTGCGTACACCATGTGACATTCATTCACACTGCATATTTCAGATGTGTCATAAAATCAAGTTGAAAATCGTCCACGTCGTAGCTTTGTTAGTGGCCCAAAACACTTCAGACTTAATCCAATCAAAAAGGAAAGCTTGCATCACCGGGCTGGGCAGCCATCCACCGAGAGCATGCGCGGTAATGCTTGGCCTCGCAGCTTTGCCGAGTTGCAGCCTACAGTCTTTCGACAAAGTGTCAAAGGCTCGCTGTTGGAAACTGTCATAACTCAGAACAATACGACCTGACCGCTATTGGCCACTTACCAGCAAGGGCAGGCATCAGATCACACAGCAGTCTTTCAATGATGTGCATCAGCGGCGGTGGCTGGAACGAAGGCGAAACAAGCACAGTCTCACGAGGAACATAGTTCGGAATAGCCGGTCATCGAAACTCCCACTACTGACTTAGGGCAAGCTCCCCATGTCATTAGGCCTGTTCCTGCGACCGGCTTCGTAAGAGAGTTGGAATGATAGTGGAAATGGAACGCGAAGCATAATTTGGTGATGACGAAACAGGCGCAGCTACTCCTGCTATATTCAACCGTCAACATTCGACATTCAAGGCACTGGCTAGAAATCACCTCAAACCACCACCTTCTGCAGTGTTTGGTTGTGAATCCTTCCTGGCTTCCCCTTGCCTGCTCGAGTTCTGAGGCGGTTTCCGCTTTCTCTGCCCAAATAGCGACTGGTCTCAGACATGAAGGCAGGGATCCCTGTGCCCAACACTCAGGCTCAGCCTACCCCTGCTCGAATCTGCTCGAAGTAACGGATCTCGTTTGCCGACTTCCCATACCTAGTCACTTCACTACCCAAAACCTTTCAGGGCTGATGCATCTGAGGGTATGTGCACCCGCATAAACAAGTCCAGCGTTTGGCTTCTCAGGGCTGTCGAACCGAACAAGCAGTAGATTTGTGGTGAGGTCAGAAACAAGTCTTCCTCTCAATATTCTTCTTGTTGTTAAAGTAATAGCAGCCTCGCCGAGGTCGAAGAGCGAGGCGTCTGACATTGAAAGTCCTGAGAGTGGAGTCGAGAATGCAAACCTGCACCTACTGGTACCGTCCAACAGGAGATAATGAACTATTTGGCTACGCAAAGTCGGGGCTGCCTCCAAAAGAGCAGCAGGGACATTAAAGGATTCGGGACTATTGCTGGGTCCGGGAAGTCGCCGATGAAGGGATTGGGAATCCTTAACCAACAGGGGATCGTGCGAAGATCACTTCGCCCATAACTCTATGATAGATGATAGCTACGACCTACCGTCACAACGGTGAGCCACTTCAAGCTCTTATCTCCCTCTGCCGGAAGACGCGACTCGCCAGTAGGGATCCCCATGATCTCCGTCACTTCCCTCCTGGTGAAAGGACGAGGTCGGACGAGGCAGAAGAAGAGACATCCAAAGTTTCGACTATTACTTGAGACGTGCCCTAGCTTCGTGCTTCTGACCTTGGCAAGAGTTGGGTCCAGGAAGCTAGAACGTGGTCAGCTCTAGCATTCGAGTGGAGCAGATGATGTGAGATCTCTTTGGTCCTACGCCATCTGCTCCATAACACCTACAATGACTGCACCGTGCTAGGCTTGCCACTACAGCAACTAGTTTGCGACCGCAGTCATCCAGCTCTTCATTTCACCTCCTGACCCCCTTTCCTGATGTCCAAGAGTTTGAGATATGACAGAGCTTTCAAGTCAAAGTCCATGATGGTTTCGCGGCCAGTTTCTTGAACCTGCTGTTCTGGATTCTTGATTGCCTCCTTGCGATCGGCAGTCAATCGCCACAGCAGTGCACAACGGCGTAGGCACATCTTGGGGTTTGAAAAGCTTCCCTGCTATCCTCAAGCTGCGGTGCCTTCCTTGTGTTCTGGTTCTGATCAGAACGATCGCAAAGACCACAAAGAAGAGCTGGTTTGCCACGTTCTTGAGAGTGTTCGACAATTGGCGCTCGCCACGCTTGCAAGCGGTCAGATGCTTGAATAAATCGAATAGCACGTGGTTCGGTCCTGCGCTTCGCTCCAGCAGAACGCGAGCTGATCGCATGCCGCGGGTTCGCTGTAGCAACTGGCGGTTCCGGGTGATCTTGTGTCGGCTTTCCAAGCTTGCGAAGTGCACAACAGGGTGAGACTGAAGCACGCCACGGCATGGCAGGCCGGCGGTGTCATTGTTGCAACATGTTGTAACGATGGTACAAAGCTCCTGTGTGTCCGGTATTCCCCCATTTCATCCCACGGTGTCCGGCGCCACTATGCCGCTGCAGGCCGTGATGTTCTGCTTGGTCTTTGGGCACCTCGGGACGACACATGCAGCCAGCATGCAAGTCAATGCTCGCCTAGAGCTAGAGGCATGTGGCCTGTCGTACAGGTTGGTTCGAGTCTGAAGGCCATCTCGACATTTCAGGAGCAGAGGGATCATTCAACCGAAGATCTAAACAAGAGCTGCTCGCAGAGTGGCGCGAAGTGAAAGTGTTGGAGAGCAAGAGTCTAGACACTTCACCCTTTACAAGTCTCCAAGTTACGCTTTGTCGGGTCTGCTAAGTAGCACTGTCCTGGTGCTTACAACTATACCGTAAAGCCATACGTAAGTTTTCGGCTCAGTCAAAGGCTTACACAAACCTTCTCAATTTTGGCTATGTGGGGGATTCTTGGAATGCTCAAACTGCGCGAGAAGAATCGACAACTCTCCCGAGGCGCCTTTGGACAAAGATGCGGCCCGGCTCCGCGGCCTCGGTAAACGCATCTCAGTTACCACAAGGATCGACCAGGTTACTAAGACAGGGCTACGCCGGCTACGCATTTCAGTTACCACAAGCTCCGCCGCAACGCGTCTACGTGCAGTGGGTAGCACTAGGGCATGATGAGGAAACGGCATAGCTGCATAAAGCATAATAAAGTCTTGTTGTGGTCAGCTCAGCATGCAACCGGCGGCCCATTCAACCACCGATGATGGCAAGTCTGTCCATGTCGGACGGAGAACAGGGCTAATTTAAGAAAGCCATGTGCGGGCATGGCACGTCCAGTTGCTGAAGCACCTGCCCACAGCTTGGAAGAGTGTCTCATGATGTCCGATGCCGCTTGCTTAGGGCAGCATCCTTCATCCGGTGCATTTCTCTCAGTCGCGCAGCTGTGACACCCTATCGGCCCTATCGCTGCTTTTTGCATTTTCTTCATATCAATTAAAATGTTGTTGCTGAAAGTACGCCGACAAGCGTGAGAGAGAGTCTGTCGTTGCCATTACCATGGCCCTAATATTTCCCATCTACCTAACCAGGCCCAGTTAGGTTCCGATTGTAGTGTGCGGAGCATGGCTCTCCTGCCTGGAGGGAGCCGCGGGATCCGTAAGTCGCAGGCGAAGTCACAGAAAATTCCTCAGCTCACGAGTGTCGCTCTGTCATCATGCTTTCCAGTCAGCTCCTCCTACGGCCGTGCCATTGCAACTGAGCCGGAAAGCATAAATAGTCCAACAACAGCGAAGACCACTGCCCCGTCGAGAAGCGAAGTACTCCGGCAACTCGGGCAGGCGCAGGTCACCACTAGCGTTCAAGCCTGCGGAGGATTGCAAAAACATGCACATACCGAGAACCAAAAAATCTGTCGTTGGGAATCTGAAATAACTTAATTAATAACACACCATCAACCGAGCAGATCGCCTATACAACTGCCCTCTGCGTTCAAATGCGTGCATACATCGATACAAGTCATGCATAAGTAGACTCAAGTACATATGCATCAAATTCTTGCACCACAAGAGGCGTAGTCACTCGGATCAGGCGAGCAGCGCTCTTGAAACCACTTGGCCAAAGAAGGCTCATCCTGGCCGAACCAGTGGCCCACACCTGCGATTCGCAGGAGACAGTCTTCGTAGGAACGACTCGTCTGGGAAATCTGAGAAAAGTGCGAATGGCAGGCAATTCAAGCAAGCGCTACATGGAATTGCACCTGGAAGCTCGACGGCTGTCACGGAGCTGTCTTTCTGCCTTGCTTTGGCCGGCTTTCGGTCCATTGCTGGCAGCTGAAGCCATTCGGTAAACAAGCGAACTTGGTATCGCCCGCTGAAACTCAGGGGTATTCCGGCATTCACTAGATGTTACGGGCGATGCTAGTGGCTGAAGCTGACGAAAGACTCCATGGGCTGAGCATCGGTCTGACAAGCTGCCCGGCCGATTCGAGCAAACGGACCATGTTGCGAGGTTGCGTCGGTGGGACGTTGTCGTCCTGCTGCCATCGTCGCATGCAATGCTGACCTCTGCTACGCCTTGCTTTCGGACGTCCTTGCTCCCGTATATCACGAGCATAGGGACGCCAACCAGGTTCTCGTGTGCGAAATCCTGGCAAACAGGACATGCTTCAGCTAGGGCCTAGGGGCATGACATGAATGAAGGCTTCGCTATCGGACGCGGATCTTCACGGCACATTTCACAGTGACACGCCATCGGCGTTCGCGCTGCTTGGCTGTTGAACACCGAGCATCCGCCGCGTGCTCAAAGCGCGCTTCTTCCAGCAAACCGCGCCGGGTTCCATCGAGAAGGCCTGCAAAACAACGATGTCTCGCAACAGCACTACACAGCCAACCTTCCACATTCATTGCCCTGTCCTGCCGGGCACCCGACATGCACCTATTAACAGCATCCCGTATCAGCCGTATCAAATCACCAAACTGCAAGACTCGGTGCCTTTTGGAGCCGGAGCTTCGAATGTGAGATCTGCCGCCCACTGCAAATCTCAAGCCCGGTGGCCTGAATGGGAATCACCAGCGTACGAGTTCAAGGACGGCCAGCCGGAGGCACAAGCAGCACCAAGCAGCAGATCCTTTGTGGAGGCCACATGTCGAAGATCCCGAAACCCGAAAAGCTGCTTCTTGGCATGAGTCCCCAGCCAAGCTTCTCTGCGACTTCATGCAATGAACAGAAAGATGCTCGTGCCCAACGTGTCTGCCAGATTCCATGGGATGTTGCAATAGTGTTGAACATCAGCATCACTAATACCATCACTGCTCATCACCACCATCGGCAGGAACGCCCTGATTGAACCCGACTCCAACAAGAGGTTATGTCTGCATAACTGCTCGAAGTAAACAGCAAAATCCCTGAGGCTCGAGGCCACGAGTCCGGAAAGTGACTGGCGAACACGAAGCAGCCGTGGCCACCCATGGAGTGGCCTGCGATTCACCTACTTTTCAGCACAGCGGGTTTGAGGAGCTCACTAGGAGCTCTGCGCCTAACATCGTGCTCATCTACACCATCTACACTTTGCCTTGCAGAGCTCCCGGGGCTACAGCCAAGAAGCAAGTGTTGGCTGGCTTCTACATGGTGGGCAGTGGGAAAAGCATGCCTACAGACTCTGAACAGGCAACAACTTCTAAGAGATGGTTGGCGAACAACCAGACGACCTTGTATATACTTGTATACAGCTATACATGTACACACATGTTTTGGGTTTTGGCCCACGGCCCACGGGATGAAGATCGATCAAGGGGGTCCGGACAGTGTTCCAAAGTCTGCAACGTGAAGGGTTCGGGCTGCCGAATCCCAACATCCACCTACTAGCACCAGGAGTCCACGCCTGTCACCAGCACTCGGGTATCGTCCAAGCTGTGGCTCTTCCGCCGCTCGGTGACGTTGCCTGGGGCTCCTGCTCACGAGCTTTCTGTTGCGAGCTTTTTCGGGGTGTCGGTGCATGGAAATCACTGGTCTACTGCAGCTCCTCAGTGCTGCCAGCAGTGGAGCTTAACCGTTGCAACTACAAGTTGGTGACCGCAAGTCTCCTGGCAGCTCCTCGCGCACATAGCGCAAGGCACCCAAGGCATTGTCCAGGCCTTCAGTACGGCTCAGTATTGGCGCACCAGACTGCGATCAAACCCTTCTGAACTGCATGAGAAGGCCTGACCTGCACAACCTATAACTCAAAACGCAAAGCAAATCGATAGTTGCTCTCTCATTGCCATCATGACGAAGGTCACCCTTCTTTGGCTCAACCGGTTCTGAGAAAAGCCCCAAACCGGAAGCAAAAAAGTAGGTGCCGCTTATGCTGCCCTGTGATAACCGTACAGTGATCCTTTTAGTAAACCCCCCTAATCCCTCTGATGATAGCGCAACGCAAGTAAGCTTGCACAGCAAGGTCTTCTTGCGGCCATGGTTCCGGGTCCTTCCCAGTCTGTGCCCCAATGCCAACGGTTTGTTGGCTGTACGAGCCAAGCACCGTAGGGGAAGCCTTCCCTCGGTGGCAGGAAGGGGCTTGCCGCAGCGGGGTTTCACCGCTCGCACTCAGACAAGTCCAAATAATCCAGATGGACTAGAGTTACGATTACGGTCTGCTTTAGACAGGGGAATTCCGGAACTCGCGTTTTCGAGTTTGGAGGTGGGCCGTCAGACACATCTGTCTCCGAGCGTCTCCCCGCCCAGCTCATAACCTCAGCTGGTGAGCTTTTGCTTTTCCGTGCGTGCAGCTTGACGGATCGACAGGCGTTAATGCGCCGACCCGCGCAAAGAAAAAAACCTCACCTGCAGGTTCCAAGGTCAATCCGACGCGGCTAGCAGAAACGAAGCGTGCTGGGTCAAGACTCCCAGCAAATGATTCGAGGCGGAAACAAAAAGTAAAATGTCGGCGCAGTCTCCTCGCAAAGCCGTACGCCCAAACCCCGTGCTGCAATAATGAAAAATGCCGAGCCACTATGCCCCCACACTGGACCCACACTGACGGAGGCACCGTGCAGAGAGAGCATCACCGGACAACCCCGAGGCGGGCATGTCCTCCAGCGAAGGAGCATGATTCCCATTTCATTTCTCGGGTATAAGATTTTGGGGATCGCAGCGACAGCTCGCCCCAATTCAACCCTCAACCATTGATGCAACCAAGCAGGTCCTGTTGGCAAATTGGCTAACATCCGGAGGTGCCGCCCAGAGCTTTTGGATCGAGCCTCCCCGAAGGACAAGCTCCCGGAGTCTTTGGTGGCTGTGTCTTGGCATCTTGGGGAGTTTAGCCATTCTTAGGCTTTGTACTTGGTCCTGCGTTGGTCTCTTGTGAGATGGTACTGTATGTAACCGATTCGTTTGCCATTTCGCGCCAGGCTCGCGGATCAAAACTAATGCTTGCCATGGGGTTCCTCAGTTGGAATTGCAAAAGGAAGCAGAAAGGCAACCAATCGGCGAATCGCGCATCTATCGAACGACGAGTGAGTTCCTAAGACAATCACTAATCACGGTTATAAAAGTTCAAACCTTGCACCATAAGCAAACGATCTGGCTTAGCCAACCAGGAACCAACCACCACAGCAGTGCAACAAGGCAATCGCAGCATGAAGCACATGAAAGGTTTTCTTAGAACTGGAACCTTCTGGCCCTCAACTCGCACAGCCCCACACCGCCCTAGCCCCAAGGCCCGCCATCGAAGTCCGGGTAGGCCACGAGGAAGCCGCGATCCGCACTGCGGCCTCGCAAAGCTCTCTGATCACTCTGGCAGAACACAACGCACATAAGCGCAGAAGGATCAATGACAGAGAATCGAACGGAAGTGGGACTGGTCTTACTATAGCGCAGCCCCCCGCTGCCACCACCACCACTGTTTCTTCTTCTTGCTGCTGTCCTAACCTATCTGGTGCTGCCTCTTGCGCGTGCCCAATTTGTTCAGGCATTGACTGTTGGAAAAAGTTCAAGTTCGACCCAAGGACATGCTATCGCATGGGCCCAATCGCACCTATGCACAGATTGAGCTGATTCAAACTCGCTATCTAAAGTCCTCAGGAGTAATTGTGCATCATGCTGCTCGCTGGATCGGGCTTGCCCCTCGGCCCTAATCGTAGAGAGATGGGTCCAATTCAGCCGTCATGTCACGATATATAAGCCAAATTTGTTGTAGAAGAATGTGTTGACCATAAGGTAAGACAATGCCGAATTGTTCGAACAATTCCGTCTTTTTCAGGACTCCCCTTGGTGCACACAAGGATCGGCATTGCGTGGTGATGGAGGCATGGACCGGCGCGTGGTTGCCCTCTGGCTGCAGCGCTACCGTGAAGGTGAAAACCTGGAATGTCTCCGGCTCGAGAATTCCCGATTTCTCTGGCGGGGGGCAATGTTTTAAGATGTTTCAGGCTGCGAAGATTCGCACTTGCCTGGCGTTTCGCGCACAACGGGCGGGACTGCCGACATGCAGAGAAACGAAAAGAGTGGCACAGCAGTGACGAAGTAACACTGGCAGAGCAAAGGTGCCTTGGGCCGCCCGTGGCAGGTCAGCTGCCCACCCTGTTGCCAAGACAGGCGATACATGCCAATGCCAATGATTCCTGCGGGGAAGCATACCACTCATGACACATATGGGTGCCTGAGAACACGAGAAGATGGATTAGCTGCGGAGCTTACCCCATGCAGGCCTGCTGAAGGTTCAGCCTCAGAATCATGGCTTGCCTGTGCGCAGAAAAAGCCATATCTCGTTTTGCGATGCAAACGGTCGTTGGTCTTCAAGGTGTGACGGAGCAGATCACTCCCCTGCAAGCTAGTTGGGCAAAACATCTGCTTCTGTACCATGTTTCAGCGAAGCAGGACGAGAATACAAGCATCGCTGCCAGTTGACAATGAGAGAAGCTCCTTAATCTCTGGAAAGATGGGCCCTTTGAATGCGGCCCCAAATACTGCCAAGTTCCCAGTCTCTTTACAGCCTTATATTATGTCAGGGTACCCAGGTTGTACAGCAGGCAAATCGCCGGGATGGACTCCTGTCCAAAGGAAATTGAGCGTGTGATGGGGCATGCCTTTCCAAGTATCTTGACAAGAGTAGAATCCACAGAACGCACTCGGCCATACCGCTGAATGACGAAATGCTTAAAAGAGACGCCGTATGCGTATCTACACGATCCGTCCTTGCACACTGAGATTGACCGCTTCTTCGACAATCCTGGCACCGGCAGCGTCCACGATGCCACGACGTTGTAATTTGCAAGGTACGCCAAGGGAGGTTAGGAGGGTCACGTGACCAGGAATATGTTCCTGAAAGCATCAGCAGCTCGCTCAGATGATCCCGAATATGTGTCGTGTCTCAGCACGTGGTGCTTACCAGGCAGTTGCCGGAAAGTGCAAAGCTTAGGGCTTCGGTTTTCCTCTTTGCATCCTCTCAACCTTTCCGCGTCGGACGACGACCCAAACGGCAAACCACTCAACTGTTTCCACAACTTCGAGTTTGCCGGGGCACGCAGCGCTGAGCAAGTGCAAGGGCTCCCGGGCAGTGTTGAGGATGGGGATTCCTCGGTTCTTCGATTCGGTGGGGTCGGCATGCCTCTATCAAGACGAATTTCACCTTCACTCCACATTCGCCACCATGGCCTTGCTGGCTAGGCGCGGATATGCCTCTTGGCCTTTCCCCTATACTATAGTTAGTTACTATAGCCTATACATCTGTAACTTTGACCAGAAGAAGTGAGGGCTGGTGCAGGCAATTTGGGGTCTCTCCATCCTCGGGACATTCGGGGCATCTTCGCGCCGGGTGCTTGTTGGAGCCGGCCCTGCTGATCTACCAGCGAGAAGGCCAAGTTCGCCAAGGTGCCCAGGTGAGGAGAAGCCAGATCAGAGCCAATGACCTCTACAGTCAGCAACCGACTGGGACGTGACTTTTCGACTGAGCCTCAGGTCTTTTTGAAGCCGGCCCGCCTCCGAGACGGCTACGTCCTTCAGTAAGACGAAAGGGCTGAGTACCTGGCTTGGGGCCGGGCTCTCTCAGGCGTCCGGACCATGGCACCATGAGCCGAAACACAACACCACAATGTGCAAGTCAGTCTGATGCACCTTGTTGCCTGCCACTTCCATACCCTGCATATCGCAGGTATGTATCTATGTTTGTATCAATGTATATCATGCATGTATGTATGTATGTATGCATGCTTCTATGAATACAAATACCTTGGCAGTCACGCAGTTGTCGTCGAACAACATGCTTCGGCCTTCTCGGGCCCAGCAGCTGCTACGCCCGTCAAAGCTTCCCGTGCTGCCGCGCCATCCAGAAGGAACTCGCAGCGGAAGCCTGGAGTTCACTGGAGGTGTAACTTTTCTGAAACTCCTGATGGGTAGTTGGATGTTTCTCAAACATACAACAATCAAATTAACGGGTAGCCGGCACACCTGCGAGGATAGGGTGAGAAACGCCAGCGGCCCTGTCCCTAAATGATCATATTGAACTTCAACTGTGATGTGACTGAAGGGGCTGAGCAAATCATGCATATGAAATTGCTTTGGCCAGCCCTTTACCGGTCTGACACTGCCCCAAAGGCCGCAGGTCTGAACCCAGCAGGGTCATACAGAAGTGTACAGGGACTGGCTTGACACCTTGTAAATACTTTGTTCTTCCGACTCTGCCATCTGGCATTCAGGATCAAGTGCAGATTGCAGAGACAAGGACTTGGCCGTGAAGGCTCGCAGGGTTTCCAGGCATGCAATCTTTGGATTCTTCCGCGTGGGGCACAGATTGCAAGTGGAATCGTTGAATTTCCAGCGAGGGAAGCTTACTTCGTCTTTTGTCTGCAGGGACGGCCCTCCCTTGCCTGGCTCTGCTGCCTTGACAAAGACTCGATGCTGCCCCTTCCTGACTTGCTCACAAGAGAGACTCTGGCGCTGCGCAGCAGAAATTGACACTGATTCGACTAAGCGTTGTCCAAGGATCTGCAACTGCAGAACATGCACGGACCGGTTCTCCCCATAAACGTCCGCCAGGCGCAAAGCTAAATCAGAGTCCAGATAAAAAGAGCTCGAGCACTTCCTGAGCTGTGGGAGGCAACTGAAGATGAATTCCCCATCTACTTTGCCAAGACTTGTATACCATCTGTATATCTTCCACAACATGTCTGCTAACAAGATTTGCTGATCATTGCTAATGGAGAAGTTTTGCTCCAAGTGGAACCTGCATACACCTGACAAACAGGGAGTGACAAGCTCCTGACAAACTGCCAAACACCCCACGAACACACTTACCACTACCCACTGCCGCACGGAGATGTACGTACGAATCGAGCCAAGTCTCGCCAATACCGTTGCGTCGCTCGTAAGGTTGAACTCACCCATTGCCCAGCCACTGCCGTGGCCCGTCTCATCTGAGAAAAGCTTTGGGTTCCTGCGGGCAACAACATGTCAGTGATTGAAACACCACTAGCAGGGGGAGAGTGCGATAGCGGTCTGAACTTCAAACGTTTACCTATTGTCTCCGTCTCTGTCTATGGGAGCGAGGGAGCAACATGCAGAGACATAACCAAGAGAGAAAGAGACGGAGAGAGAGAGAGAGAGAGAGAGAGAGAGGGTGTAGTCAGCCTGAATCGTTCAGCCTGTCTACATCTGACAGTTGATTATAGCCCTATGAATTGGCCAACGGCAGTTCTCTATGAAATGGGTTTGGCCATTTCATAGGCGTTGATTTTATAAAGGGGATTTTTTGTAGGAACCCCGGGGGCTTAAACCCCTTTTTCCACAGGCTTGATTAGTGCTCGCCCGGCCAGAATCCCCAAGCACATCGCACTCGTGGCGAGATGCTGAGGCTAAGTACGCAGCCTAAACCTAGAACCCGTAGAAAGCCCGCAACCCGAAGCCCGGAAGCCCGCAATCCTGCCTTCTACCCCGAGCCGGGCCCTGCGCTCTTTCTCTATCTTTCTTTCACCAGGTTAGGAGCCCGTCCCCTGCGCTCAAGGCGCCCCCCCCAATATTGTATGGGAGGCATAAAATCTGGAGGCTACACTCCGGCTAAGGCAGAGTCGTCTGTGCAGAAAGACAGCACACAGCACAGGCAAGTCCCCTGGATTATCACCTGACTCATAATCTCTCTCTCTCTCTCTCTCTTGCTTGCTTGCTTGCTTCGGGGGGTGTGGGTTTCCGTGGGAAGGCCTACCCCCACCACAGTCCGCGCGTCTCAAGGTCTGTACGGCCCCTTTTGGGGTTGAGAGAATAGTACTTACTCGTTCCCCCGACTGCACTTGTAAACCCCAGCCCCCAAAAACACCCCTACTAAATAAACCCTGACCGTGAGAAACCTGCAAGTCCCAGCCGGGTCACCCGAGGCCTCTCCAACAGCAAGTAGTTCGAGGGACAGCGTAAGACCCAACAATCACCACTCCATGCAGAGCTACCCTAAACCTGTTGTTCTGGTCCCTTCTTTCGCTCTGCAGGTGGGCTCCACCCCCCTGCACGGGCATGGCCTGGCGACCGCACTACACCCAGCACTACAAGCTGCGATCCCCCGTGTCGTACACTCTTGCTTGCCTGCAGGGCGTGTCGTACACTCTCGCTTGCTTGCTTGCTTGCTAAGGGGTCTGGGCCCCGGAGGACCCTGGCCCGAAGGCCTACCCCCACAACGGTCAGCGACATCCTCGCGCTCGCTCTCTCTCTCTCTCTCTCTCTCTCTCTCTCTCTCTCTCTCTTTCGTTCCCTTCCTGCTCTGGGCGCGTGGGTGTGCGGAGTGGGCAAGCGTGCGTTCACGCGAGGCGGTCGGTAGACCTGGCGTCGTTCGCAGAATCCGTGTCAACATAGTGCTACCACGGCTATTGAAACTGGCAACATCTTGGACGAATCCGAAAGCAACACCGAAAGATTTCGAATGATGCCGAGTGCATAGACACTGAACATCACGAAATGGTAGCAATCCGACGGCAACCCCTCCCAGACATTTTATAGCGAATGCACCTTGGCAGCACAGTTCTTGCGAACTTTGGCAGCCCTGAGCAAGGCACCCCCGCAGGCCATTCTATAGCATACTCTTGTTTTGCCAGCATCCGGATCGCATCGATGAGCATGATGTCATCGGACAACTCATGCGCACAACAGTAACCCAGGCCAGTCACTCCATAGAGAATATGCTCGTGGATGCCAGCCCGCAAACTTGTTTTCAACATCCCTGGGCGGTCGTTTGATAGACTCTGCGGGGGTGCCCCATGCACCTTTGGAGACCATTCAATAGACCATAGGCCATCAAGTTATAATCAACACCTAACTCATGCTTCCTGGAACGAGGGCGAATGAGGGCAGCGGACCAGCATTCCGCCGTGATCGCGAAGTAGACTGGACAAGACTCGACCAAACTTGTGTTGGAGAGTGGCACGGGAATGTGACACATATTCAAAACCTGTTTGCCATCTCATTGGGTGAAAACCTTCCTTTCTTCCTTTGGGGGGGGGAAGCTGCTCAATGAAGCAGAAAAGCGAACCCTTCCGATCACGGCAGAGCGATCAGTCCAGCCAGCTGTGACTGCCAGCTGGGTGAAGTTGACCTCCACCTGAACAATTCGGGGGACAGACCCGCTAAGCTTCTGTCAGACCGCCCACACACCAAGCTTGTTCCCTTGACACCTTGCGCCTGTCCATGGAATCTTTGTGCAGTAAACCGTCAGCGCGACGGTCGCACCATCGTAGGGTCGGGTAGTGGCATCTGACCAAACAACTCCTACTTCAACGTCATTGCCACGGAATCCTGGCAAGAGGCTGTTTCGTCCGAGTAGTTTGCCAGGGCGAAGCCCCAAAGTGTGCGCCCTCCCGGGCCCACTTCTGTGGGAAACCTGACTTGGGCGAGGGTCTGCCACCACGTGCCCCATGTTACAGCGAAGTGAAAGGAACTGTTGCACGACCAGAGATAATGCTGCTGCTATTCATGCCATGCTGATGCCATGCTTGCCAACGACCCGACTGCAACACAACATCATCGCCCAGGAACGATTCCAGTGACTCGTTCAGATCACGAGGAAGAAAGGAGCTGTTCTTGGCGGCAAGGTGCGAAAGGACCTTCTTCAAGGCCTTGGCAGAACGGCATCAGCTGTTCGTGCTGCCATGCAGCATCGATAAATCCTGCAAAGCGGACCCGCCAGGAGCATGCACGATCCCTGGAAGTCCCAAAGCAGAACGGCACCGCGGCGCCTTGTCGTAGTCCAACTGCTCCGAAAAGGAATCATGCCAAAGTTCGGCACGCTCCCGGAGCGCAGTCCAGAATGTGGAGGGCAACCGCCCCGCGACATCTCGGATTTTGCACGAAGCATGCGGCACTCGTATCCTACACAAGCGCATAAGGTCAGACGTTACTCCAGCCACAACACTCTTACACCCTCTTGCGGCCTCTTGCCCCCGACCTGCTTACATGACAAAGCTTCGGATCGAGGCAGTCCCGTTTTTCCTTAAATTGCACACACATCACGGCAGCCTTGGATGCCGCCGAACGCGGCCAGCGGCTCGGCACCGCTGCTAAACATCCAGGGGCCTAGAACGGCCCACCTTAGAGTTTCGACTCTCTCACGCTTGAACACGTGGCAAAGCCGAGTACAGGTCAGGTCAATTGCTTCAACAGCCTTCAGCATGTACTCTCCGGCTACAGCCGATGATCCGATGCTAACAACCTGAAGCTGGGTCCGGAAGCCATCATCCAGAATTGCTCCAAAGAAAGCCAGGGCACAGCTGGGGACCTACATTGCGCGGGTACTCCACCTCGTCGGCCTTGTGCACAGAAGCCAAGATAACAAGCTTGAATCAACCTCCTATCCTGCCATGGCAACAAAAGATCCTGCAAAGAATGTCTGCTGAGCTGATGGGCCATGAGCTCAGTGGAAGGTACAGAAAACCTTACCATGAGACATTGTGCAGCAAGGCCCAACAGAGCATGCGCAAAACAAGCGCAAAGCGCGGTGCTTTACCCTGCATAAGGATCAACTTCTCAGCAGACTGGGGACTTCAAGTTGTGCTGGGCGAGCATGTCGGATCTTGGAGCCTCAGGACTGGCAGGCAAGAGCTCTCAATGCTTCGCAGACCAGACTATGACAATCTGTGACAATCTGCATCATCTCTGCTTCCTGAAGGCCCGCTGAGGCTTTCTACGTGATGGAAGAATGGAAGGAAAGGACTTGGTCCTCCTCCTCTGCCTCTTGCCACTCCAGATCGGCTTTGGGGGCTGGTGAACTTTGGAAGCGAAGAAGACTTCCCTTGGGAGCTCTTCTTCAGTCGTTTTTGACACTCCCACTCGGACAAAGCCAGGCCAGGTCTGCAGATTGTTTTGAAGTTGTGTGCTTTGCACAGACTTCTTGAGACCGCTGCACAGCAACCCTCGATCTGAGACTGCAACCTCTCACCGGGTTGTCCAGGAGGCAGAGGAGGAGTGGCAGGTAAATGCTCCGCTGCCATGGCTTCATTGGTTGCGGATACGGTAGAACAAGGTTTTGGGGAGACCCATTAGTAGCTACTACTAGTAGCTATAGCAAGTGGCCATTACTACTTCCCTGAGGATGGCTTTCTCACGGTCCTGAGAAGGGCCGCATCAGTCTTCGCGCCCACACCCACACCTGCGCATTGCCCTCCGGTGTCCGACGCTGATCGGGTCCGAGTTTTCTTTGACGAAGATGCCTCTAAACTAGTGGAGCTGTTTTGCCAGCTGGCCACTCGTGAATTGCAGACCCCAACATGAAGGCCGCCTACCGAACAATAATCGGTTCTAGGCGGTCCGGGGCATTCTGCTGGAGCCCCGTAAGCTGCCAAACACGTCCAACATTGCAGCGAGATGGAGCGAGCAAGAGAGCAAGAGATACTGGCAAACCGAGTCGGAGATGTAAAAGATGGCAAGACTGGAGGATCCAACATCGCAGGGGCCGTCCAGTCTTCTCCGCCTCAAGGCGTATGCTGTGATGTGGAGGTGAAACGAAAACGGCCATCATCCGCCGAACGACCTACATGGACAGGCCCAGCTTGCCTTGCGCAGCCGTTTCCGAGAGCTTCTGAACTTAAAACACTTCTTTGGCCGGCAGGCAATCTCGCCCAGCTTTGCCTACTGCAGTCGCCGAAGAGCTAGAATCTAGAAGAGTTAAAGAAAGCATTCCGCAGCACCGGTGTCGCCCGTGAACGTTGAAATGTTCTAGTCTATTCAACTGTTCACCTCTGCACACGCAACATCACCTTGTGCTGCCCGTCAATGTGGGATGCTTCAAAAGCCCCAAAACCAAGCAAAAGCCGGGAAGTTCCCCAGCTTGGCTCGCCGCCGCCTCTACCTTTGCTCGGCATACCGGAAAGCACCCATCCAAGCCATCCAACCACACAAAGCCCGGACCCACATCAAACGTCAAACGTTAGCCATCGAGGTTGAACAAACTTTGCACACCAGCCATATACGAGGCAGCCGCTCATTGCTGCTGTCAATGCCGGTCAGCTAGCTTTCCTGACGGAAACGATAAGTCATGGCTTTTCTGGATCAGCAAAGGGCCGGAGTGTTAACTTCACGGGTGAGCGAGCAAGATCAGCCAAGTTGAATCTGCTCGCCTGCTTGCTTGACCCTGTCGTTCGGCAAAAGATTCTTCGAAAGAAGCTTTCAACTGTCCTTGCTGCCGATCCGACCCTCACTGGCACGAGTAGGCTCCAGACCATGATGCGCAGAGGTTGCGCTTCCGTGTTCAAAACGAACTCCTGCGCAAAAGCGCGCGGCCGACGAGAAGCTCCGGCCAGCGAGGGTCCAAACTTGGAAGTCCTCCAGATCGAGCGTGCTTCTTGGTGAGAACAGAAGGTAAAAGTACCTCCAGCGTGGCGGGAACTTAGCAGGAATCTTAATCTACAGTCTACTGCTTCCAAAACCGGTTTGCATGACGGTGACGGTGAGCATGAGATCGCACGCACGTTTTTCGAAGGTGCGTGCTGCAGATCCAGCCCCGCAGCAAACTAAATGGTTCTACAAAGTACTACAAAGAGGCTCTGCTGCAGCGAAAGCTACATGTCGAACTTGAAACCAACCTCTCAAATTCCCCCAACTGCCCAGAGGTGTGAATTCTTCAAGCTTCGACCCCATTATTGCAAACAACTGTCACGGCAACTCGTGCACAGCATCCGGAATGCATGACATGACTATGACTGCTTGGAGCCATGGTGCTTCAACGTCTCCCCAAGCCAGAAGCTCTCCTGTTCGCATCTGAAAGGCTGCGGAGGCTTTGCTTCTGATGCTTCATGGGAGTGCAGCGTACCTCATGTAGCTTCAAAGTGATAGTAGCAGTTGCAACCGGCAGCATGCCTACAACATCCTGTAAGTTCCAGAGCATTGCCCTGGGATCGGAAGCAGTGCTTCGCTGGCCTGGGCGTCACGCTTCGGCGGCGGCTTCTTGCGGACGTCTGTTATCGCCGAGAATCCATACTTCGCCTGGCTTGCGCCAGGGTCTAGGAGCCGTTGCGATCTAGATCATGCCTGAAATCAGTGGGATCAGCTCGTTCTCCGGAAACAGGAAAATGGAGCGTGGACTTCGCAAGCTGCTTTCATTGTCATTGCTGCCAGGGCGAACACCAAACTAGCCATCGGCCTTGCAGAATCGCAGGAAGGGGAGGAACATCTCGTGGCCCTCAGAAATTCGGCTGCCATTGCACGAAGTGATGTGCCAGACAGCTAGGAATCTGAAATGAAAATGTTTGAGTCTCTCCCTTGCTCTATCCGTTGGAGGTGCGTGCGCACAAGCTGCAAACACAGTTGGGAGGGTTCCCGGCCCACTGCCGGTACTTGTGGTCCCCGGTGTAGTACCACATGTACCACAGCGCCTGCCACCATTGGGCCACTGGCTGGTCAAGACAGAATCGACAACGATCACAGAAGCTCTGCGCCTCAGCGGCCTCAGGGCGAAGCAAGTTGTGGGGCGCATCTCCGGGTACAGACATCTCCTGGCCCTGCAGCCACACTTCTGAAGACTTCGGACTCTGTCATGTTTTGCATAACTTGCGGCGCGAGCCGGACTGACTGGGAACCGTAGATGTCATGCATGGTACCGGCGTTATCAACTCTTTCGGGCAGCTGCTGAACCCCTGGCATGTCCCATGCTTGCAACCCTCAAGCCAAAGACAATCCTGCGCCGCACTTTCATTTCAAGGCTCGCATAGCCTAGGGGCCTAGCTGCTTCCACATGCGAGCCCGGTTCCCACGGGGCACCCGTGCGGCTTGCAGGTTGAATGCCACATACTCCGGCGAGAGTCCCGTGGGCATGCGCCTGGGCTTCAAAAGGGCACAAAGTACACAGATCACCAGTGGATAGGATCCCGACACATACATCTGGTAGCAGGTGTAGGTCAGCTCGGCCTCATGCACATGCCGTAGGCCGTAGGGCATCAGAAACTGCCGTTGAATTGCGTTCATCAATACACGGCTTAAATTGTCGCAACCGATTACCATCCGTTAACAAGACATCGAAAGTAATTCCAGGCTTTTGGTAAAGGAAGCGGTTCCGATACGTCAAGGTCTCAGGGGCATGGGAATTCATCGTCAGCCCGCATCAGCTTTGATTTAAGCTGGTGGCGGAGAGGTAACTCTCACACCTCCTCTCGGATACGGAAACTGCGAGCACGAACTAAGCCAAGGCGGAAACGGCAAAGGGCTCCCAACGAGGGTCCACCTGCAAAAAAACAGAAAGCTTCAAGGACGCAGTCTCAGCGGCTTCTGTTAAAATTGCACTGCACGACGCACGACGGTATGAGGACTGCATTCTTCAACCTGGAACGACGAGAGCAAAGAGGACGGAGTAGAAAGAAGTCGAGAAACTCGAAAACACACGTAGAACAAACATTCAAACTTAGAGACACTAAGGGCAGCCACACGCAGCCATCGTTGTGCAGGGAGGATAGCATCGACTACACCTGCGAAACAACAATTCTCATCCAAACCCTCCCCAGCACAGCCAGTTGAACTGCTACAGGCGTGAAAAGTCGAGTGACCCGTTGATACACGGTAGGACCACCCGTGGGAACTATTTATATTCAGATTCATTTGATGCATTCCGGCATTGCAAAGCGGATCCAATCCAGTTGCCTTATTTGCACACCCACGCTCAACTGCACCTCTTCTTTGGGAAGCGTCCTGCTGCCAAGCCTGGGTGAACAAAGCGATGCTGCGTTATCAGTAGGTCGATTAAAGCGGGAATCGAAGGATGAGGAGAACAAGAGCTGCAAAGGAATCTGGAATCTTCTGATTGCTATAGACGGGACCTTGCTAAGCTCTGAGTCCCCGGTGTTGTCATAAGATCCAGAGCAGTCGCACACTGCGAAAACACACACACACACACGCGCGCACTTAGGCATCCATCGCGCAGCCACTCATCAGTTGTTTGACCAGCACTGCTGGACGTCATCATTGGAAGATCAACTTCCAGGAGGTCTGGGGCCAATCAGGACTCAAGGCTCGATGGTTCTCCTGTCCTGTTATTGTTAGACCTGTACCGGGCAACTGGACTCTCTGAAAACACGAAGCTTCAATGACATGAACATGACTCGGCATGCCAGGATTTTGGCTTTGCCTGGTGGCCATTCTGTCCTACAGAAGGTACGTCTGGCTGATCAGGCCAGATATCACCATGCACTCTCAGTGTCTTCGTTGGGCAGTGACTGTCAGGCATGCACTGCCCCCCTGCTTTTTCAACAGAGCAATCCCTCGGTAACAGGGCTCCACACACACACACACACGCGCGCGCGCGCGCGCGCGCGCGTGCACACACAGATAGACCCAAAAAGCTGCTCTGCTTCCACGAATCCGCATTCCTGTAGCAGCTGAAGCAGCAGCTAGAGCTGCGGACAACTCAGGCCCGAGCATAAGCATGCCGGCCTTGGCTCCAAAACTTGGCATTCCCTCGTCTGTACTACTTGCTCACTCGGATCCTACTGTCAACACCACAACTTCTACTGCTCCCGCTGCTGCTGTTGCGTCGTCATCATCTACCGTTAATCGTGGTTGCCATCATCATCCGCCGCACAGTTCCAGGGCGCCGCGCCACAAAGCAGGCCAGGTGGTCCATTCGATTCCGCTGCCGTGTCCCCCTGTCCCAGCAACGTGGAGCTTGCTCCGCCGCAAGATCGATATTTCACTTGAGACTCGCACTCAAGCTCTGCAACGAACTGCAGACCGCTGGAGGTTCTGACGACCTGGAAGCTTCAAAGGGCTACAGTGTACGCATCCTGTGCTTGTGAGTACACCATGCAGATGCAGGCCGAACTCCGAGCACAGTTACGCCTCCCGCAAACAGGCTCCGACCGAATGTCTGATTTGCGCGAAGAGCAGCAAGTGTGTGAATGCACTGGCCTCAACCTCCGAACGTAGATCCGTCTCTCCAAGGAGGCATCTGGGCCCGTGACCATGGTGTCCATCATTTCTTTCATCGCCTTCGCTACAGTTGCCGAAAGGCCCTCACTGAAAAACCCATCACAAACTAGGTGGAACCAGCTGAGCGCCACTGTGGCACTTCTGCCATGAAAGACGGGCTGCAGCTAGCGCTGTGCACACAGCCTGCTAGGGATGCTGGAAGAGGTCAGAAAGTGCCATGTGCCGAGGGAGAAGCTCGTTTCCACGCATCTTTGAGCCGGGCCTTCGCAAGATGTCAGATGGAAACCGCCGAGGCTGGGATATACTGAAAACTCCTCTTGCGAGACGTTACCAAACACTTGGGCCACAACATCCTTTTTTCCTCCCTGGATCCATTGCTTCAGCAGGTACTCATAATAGGAGTCACCTTGTATGGCAGTCGTGGCAAGGCTCGTCGATTGGGGCCGGCCGATCACATGGCGCTGCAGTGTCAATCAAACATCTCTTTCTCCCCATTTCTAGGCTCAGGTGGGCCTCAGGGCCACACCCATTGCACCGACGGACACCTTCGCCCCCACGAAAGAAACAGCCTTGGCATGGCGTGTCATATGGTATGAGGGCATGTCCGGGGCGACATGAGCGACAGAGGGAACACATTCCTCCCTGCCACAGGATATCACAGGATACCACGAATCGTTTCCTTGGAACCATTGGTTCAAAAACGATGTCTCTTCTTCCCTTCTTGACACCACTTGGTAGTCTGCTTGATGCGAGCCTTGGGCATGTGAAGGGAGCTAACATACACTCTCACCTTCTCTCCATTGAACAGAGGATCAATGCACAAACAGGCGGTCACAAGAAGAATGAATAAGGAAGTCCACGTAAAGCAATGCCCCAAAACGACAACCCTAGACAAGGTCTCAGGCCTGCTTCTTCGGAGAGCTGAGGTAGATCCTTAGTCTTCAGCTACAAGCATGCAGTCGTGGCAGTCGTCGGCACGTGCTGCGGTGCAGCGACTCTTTCAACCCGCGCACAGCCTTCCGAGTGGTCGTGCAGAACGTATGATACGATAGATCATTGACCACAGGATTGGAATCGATGGCAGAATGCCCTGCAGAAACAAGCGCAAGACAAAAGCCATGCAAGTGTTTGCCTTTATGAGGAAAAGCCCGTTCTGCGGGGGTCGCTGCACCGTCAACTTCGCAGCAGGGTCCATCAGTGACACGGTCCCTGGAAGCCATGCATATTTGCTGCTTCAAGGTGGAGCTTGGTCCGAAAGTCAGAACAAGGCTGAACCAAACAATCTTGCGGGCCCTTGACCCCTGTTCCTAGTGCGCATTGCTTTAGCTTCCGTGATATTCCGCGACGGAGGTCCCCTGGCTCAGCTTCTATCTCTCTTTTCTCTTTCTTAGGCTTGAGGGCGAGCCCCCGCGGGAGCTGCCCGTGCTGTTGGAGGTTTGCACGGTGTTACGTGCAACCACTGTCGGGCTCTCCACGGGCTGAGCCAGTTAAGTAGTGGTGAGTAAAAGCACTGAGCATGGTATTCATACATCTCTCTCTCTCTCTCTCTCTCTCTCTGATTCTATCGATGACCCATTAATGTGGTGCGCAGTGAGAAAACCGATTAGGTGTGGATTTGGGCCTAAAGTCGTGACCGTGATTTCTCGCACAAAGCTGCGACTGCAGTAGTTTCGTGTCCAACGGAACGTGCACACTGGGCTGCTTCTCATGCGGCTTCGGCTTGCAAAGTGACACTAGAATCACTGGAACGAGGAAGTGGTTCAACTCCGAACCCCGTGATGTTGCTTGGTCGTGTCTGCTCCACTTGAAGGACTGACAAAATCGCAACTAGTGAAACGTCGGAAAATTGGCCATGGGAAGCATGGAAGAAACCAGATTGCTCTACACAGCTGGTGTGGTGGCACTGGCATCTTCAAGTCCCACTCATTACAAGTACTTGATATTTGCTGCGCCCGGTGCCCTTTCGGAAGACGTCGGTGCTTTGCTGCGGGCAATGCTGCTCCATGAAGAATGCACAGCACGTCCCCAGCAGACGCGAGAAATCGGCAACCGAGGCCGCAGCTAAATCTGTTCAAGTTCGCCCATTCATATCTCAGGAGGATACAACGAGACAGACCAGAGTCTGACTGGAGTCCCAATATCGCAAAAGGTTTGACCCGCTGTTCCCTTCAGAATGCCAGCGCAGGCTATGACGTGTAGAAAGAAGGGCAATCGACTCCACAAGTCGTACTCTTAGTCTAGTTCCAGCTGTGTCTTTAACTGTTTCTAAGTTGTTCTACTCTACTTCAATGCATCGAATCCAGACATGTCAGCTTCAGTTGCCAAGATGTTCCTCCAGAGATAGTAACCTGAGCTGCGCCAGGAAAATGACGACCTGTCTGTACTTCTCGGCTCTACTACTCCGAGACACCCCTGCACTGGCAAAGGCACCCCAAGGCCTCCCAAAACTAGACTTCAGCCAAAATGCGTGCTCAGTGAGGCGACGAGGATGACCTCTGGAAAGTCTTAGGCGAACACCCAGACTAAGCCATTGCTCGCACAAGTGTTTGACATGCACTTGTCACTTGCATCGAGCAGCCACGGCCCTGCCTTGAGTTTTGAGACCACATTTAACGAAAGGCTGGATGCCGAACGAACCATCCGAAGCAGAGCCAAGCGCAAAAGAGATCAGCACATGCACGAGATCAAACATCGAGCTTAGCTTTGTTGCGGAGAGGCTGGGGCGGCCATCAGCTGCATCGCTGTAGTGGCCGCGGCGATGCTGCGTCCGCTGCCAATGAGGTCGGCCATAGTGCTCCTTGACATGCAAACGCGCGGGAAGCAAGGCTCTTAAATTATTGCTTTCTTTCAGACCATGAGCACACCCTCTGAAACATCCTGGATTGATTCACTGTGCGTCTCGGTCTTTCTGCCCTTACTAGCCTCGTGCTTCTGCGTTAAGCGGGGTCTCCCCCGGAATGAATGCGAGTCGTGGCTAATGGTGGCTGGCTGCATCCTCCGGGAATGGTGCAAGCTCGAACAGAGAACCCTAAGCATCCCTAGGTAGCAGGAGGCAGGGAGCGCTAGTTCCCGGAGTCCCTCGTGAAATCCTTACAATCTCACAGGAAGTGGTCATGAGTGAATTCGGAAGAATATGGTTAAAAAGTGTTTCTGTTTCAAGTACGATAAACCCAAGTAAACCCAGCAAGCTCTGTCTCTCTGGCTTTTACAATCCGCATCGCACAATCCACGCCAGGCTGCTGACAAGTTCAGTCGGCAACTCTTACCAGTTGACTAGAAGCACCGTTGTCCCACAGTCACAGACTCTTGATTGAATTCACGCATGCTGCAATACGAGCTGTTCCGACAGGGGAACCTTGGACTCTTGCGTGAAACGACGGCAACCCACTTGTGAGGAAGACGTGACAACCAAACGCATGTCTGCTACGCCGGCGTACTTGCGAAGAAGACGTGGCAAGCAGCAGACACACGACCATCAGTTGTCGGCGATTTCAGAACATGTGCAAGCCTTGCTGATTACAAGGTTCGAGATTCCGAGTGGGGTCACAACCGCTAAAATGATAACTATAAGACAAGCCAGTCCTTCAGTCTACTCCAACTCCGAGCTGTCATGGGAGTGCGGTACCGTCAACTTGCAAAAATTCTACCCTTCCAGCCATGGCGCTTTGGCCACGAGGCGAGGGCGCATCGAAAGACACGAGAGCTCTTAGGGCCTTAGAGCTCTTCATAGGATAGCCGCCGGTTGCTTCGCCAGGCTCTTGCGGTGAAGGCCACCAGGGCCACTCCTAAGCATACGAAGGCGACGAAGGCTAGCCAAGGGGCCTCTCCGGCTCTCCGTCTCCAGGGTGGCTTGGCAATGAGTTCGTTGCTTTGGATCAAAGCGTTCACCCGGCAAGTGATTAGGGCCTGCTTTGCCTTCTTGCTGAACAATGAGTAGTCCAGCAAAGCACCGCAGTCAGGCCCAGGTGTTGTTGGGCACCCGCAGTCCAGCAAGCCGTTTTCCAACACAGCGGCGTCAGCAGGACATCCACTACCAGCAAACATGTCATTTGTGTTTGTAACTGCTGATGTGTCCCAGGAGGCCAAACATTGGCTAAAAGCCGCGGCGTCTTTGAACATCTGAAACAAGTTAGACACCCTCGATGTGTCCCAGGAGTTGAGGGGCTGGTTGAAGGCTGCAGCTTCCAAGAACATGCTCGCCATGTTGGTCACCTTCGATGTCACCCAGGAGTCCAGGGGCTGGTCGAATTCTACGGCGCCCCAGAACATGAATATCATATTCTGCACATTCGATGTGTCCCACGACATGATGGGCCCGTTGAATTTTACAGCATCTTTGAACATGCCCTCCATTTGCTGCACATTCGTTGTGACCCAGTCGAGGGGCTGGTTGAAGGTGGCGGCGCCATCGAACATATATATCATAGTCTGCACACTCGATGTGTCCCATTCGAGGGGCTGGTTAAAGGCTGCAGCGCCAGAGAACATACGTCTCATGTTGGTCACGCTCGATGTGTCCCACTTCGAGCAGCTCCCGGGACACTCGAGGGGCTGGTTGAAGACTGCGGCGTTTTCGAACATGTGTGCCATGTCCGTCACCTTCGATGTGTCCAACTTGAGGGGCTGGTTAGGGGCTGCAGCGCCATTGTTAAAGTCTTTGGCGCCCGCGAACATGTACGCCATATTCTCGACCTTTGATGTGTCCCAGTCGAGTTTCTGGTTGAAGGCTTCGGCGTTGAAGAAGAAGAAGCGCATGTCTGTCGCGGCCGATGTGTCCCATGATCCGATGTCAAAATTGAAAGTCGGCAGATTCTCACAAATTGACCGCATGTCCGTCACCTGGGACACATCCCAGGCGCTGATTACTCCATAGCCCTGGTTGATTGCGATGTCATCTCTAACGGCCTGGTCACCATTCGTCCACTCTCTGACTTTGTCATACAACTCTTGTCTGGAGGTGAATGGTGTCTGCGCAAAACTGCCAGGAAGCAGTTGCAGCACAAGCAAGCAGCGAGCCAGCTGCATGGCTGTGAAAGCAGGTTCAAGGTTTCAGGCCCTGCAGACTTTGACCCAAATGTGCTTGAGCCGTAACCATTTATTTGAGATCACCTGGCTGTTGACGCTAGTAGAATGCACTCTGAATACGAAAGATGCGACTCAATCAAATAATGACTTTAGTGTGGTGGGTCATCAGGCCAAGTCACATGTTGTTGGCCGTGGGCATTGTGCAGACGATGAATGCAGGAGCCCAGAACCTTACCCCGCAACGTTGTCATGCTAGCTCTTTTCTGGAGACGGCCGCAGTTTCGGACCTTAACAAGTGCATGGCTGTTGCACCATATGCAGGGATGTTGCAACTACCAGTATCAAGTTATGAAGACATGCCCAATCGTGCATGTCTGGCTCTTGAAGCTCTTGCCGGGCAGAATTGAGCGCTGCCGCCGAGAAGCGCGATGGGTCGGATTTGGTCCCGTGGCCTCAACCTTGAGAATCATAGCTGTAGAAAAAACACCAAGCAGATATGTGTTCAGGTTTTCTGGGTTTTCCTGCGACGATCCAGATGACGGTGAGGAGGACGGATGCAGATGGTGACCCAGGCGAGATGTCCCAATTGGGATCCATTTTCGGATTCATTCTCCTGCACACCTCGTAACTGCGACCTCGGTTCCTGTAAAAGGATCTTGCTTCCGAAACCCTCTCTTCTCCAGCGGGATTGTGGCAGAGCCAGCAAAACACCCCACCCTTATTGAAAAGCCTTGCATACCGTCGTCTTCAGATCACAATGAAGCTCCGATGCCGGGGAGCACGTACTCATTGAAAGCATACGCTACGAAGTACCTGAAGGAGACACGAGACAACCCGGATCAAACATGCACTGCACCTTTTTTGAAACCGGACTTGATGACTGCTCCCTGGTCACATGTGGCATGTGC